CGAAGCGACGTGCCGTGACGACACTGAAAGCCGAGGGCACTGGCGATGGACCGAAGCCACTAAGATCCAGGGTTCATCCACTCGTGCGCTTGGCCGTGGGCCCCTGCCCTGCCCCTCCCTTCCCTTCCCTTTTGACTGGCAGGGAGGGAAGGAACGACTGAAAGGGGAGGGGTCCCTGCCACTCTGCACAATGTGCGACGGCAGGGGACTCGGCAGCACCTGCTAATGCTAAGTCTTTGCTGGTCTCACCTGCCAATGCCTATGTCTGACGGTCGCGTCGACTGTCTCCACCCAAAAAGCGACGACGATCGCGACGCACATAGCTCTTCCACACCTGTTCGACACATCACAATGGCACGCGTTGAGAGAACACGTGCACCGGCTGACCGCTCTGTTCAATGGCACAAGCACCTTCTTCTGTCTACGTGTACCTCAGTACCAGGCTGTCACAAACCATCTCCCTTCACTGGAGTCGCAGCAACCGCCGGCCTGATGTCCCGTGGGGGCCAAACCGCTGTAACCGCCTGTTGTCGACAAGGATTGCGTACGCTGCATGCACCAAAGATCCTTCAGCTGCATTTCAGTCCCTTTCTCGCTCACTTCGTGCGTCGACCGCCTCCACGAAACAAGGGGTACGACAGAACAAATGGCCAGCCACGCCCATGATCCTAGGCCGAGCCGTTTCGGCTGCTCTCAGCCTTGCGGTCTAGATCACAACAGCTGACGATAAAACTGCTGACGTCCCCGACCTTCATTTTCTCTCTTCTTCTTCAACTTTCAGTCGTCTTCTCTTTTCAACTTTACCCATGCCGTATCCAGGTGTCTGTCACTGCTCCAGACCGCCTACATTGACGAAGGACAACCGTTCCAATGCCCAAGAAGAAGTCGCCTCAGGAACAGCTGTCAGCTTTTTGGTCCAGCTTCCACTCCAGGTCTCCCGGAAAAGTCACCTCCATCTTTCCCCGTGCCCTGTACGCAAACCTTCTGCCATCCTTGGATGCCAACCATCCCAAATGGCGTACCAATGAGCACTCCACCTCCCGCAACGCCCAGGAGTCGTACGAGGCAGCCGCGTGTGAGTGCCGTGCCCGCGTTCGCCGCATCGTCCGCGAGTGTGAACGCACCAATGAGAAGTTCACCGATCCCGATTTCGACATTGAACGCGATCCCAGCAACAATTGCCTCAATCGCCTCATCCGCGACGATGCTCAAGTCGTGGCCAATGATCAGTACATCGAGGACGATCCCAAGGCTGCTCCAGGGATGGCGACGACCACCAGTCGGGAGTTCTGTGATGCGAAACCTGGCTCGCAAAATTGTCGTCCTGGAGCCGGCGTTGAGTATACCTTTGGCTCGATTCACCGTGTTGACTGGATCTTCGAGAACCCTCAGTTTACCATTAACGGGTTCTCCTCGTCTGATATCAAGCAGGGCAGCGCTGGTGACTGCTGGTGGCTTGCTGCCATTGCCACTATAGCCCACCGCCGTGACCTGATGGACCGCGTCTGTGTCGCTCGCGACGAGGAGTGCGGCGTCTACGGTTTCGTCTTTCAACGAGACGGCGAGTGGGTCTCAACGGTCATCGACGACAACCTTTATCTCAAGATGAAGGACTTTTCCGACTACCACGCCAATGTCTATGATCATACGGGTCATAGGTCGAGAACATGGCGCAAACGTTATCAAACTGGTAGCGAGGCACTGTATTTTGCCAGATGTGACGACCCTAACGAGACGTGGCTTCCCTTGCTTGAAAAGGCGTTTGCCAAGTGCCATGGTGACTATGAGTCTCTGACAGGGGGCTGGCCTGCGAAGCTGTCGAGACATGACTGCGCGTTACACGACAGTCACAGACATGTCGAACCGCGCGACAAGCTTTGAGGGAACTCGCGAGCACTGACGAGGCTTCGTGTTCTCGCTAGCTGCGATGGGCTCAAGCTGCTACTCAGAGCGAAACGGCATCGCCATGAGTCATGCCTACTCCATCTTGCAGTCGAGGGAGGAATCGGACGAGGAGGGTCGGCGCGTTCGTCTTGTCAAGATTCGAAATCCTTGGGGCCAGCGCACCGAGAGGGGGCTTGGCGAATGGGCTGGCGCCTGGTCTGACGGCTCCAAGGAGTGGACGCCGTATTGGCTCGCAAAGCTTGGCCACGAATTTGGTGACGATGGTGTATTCTGGATGTCATTTGACGACATGCTTCAGACGTTTAGCCATATACATCGTACACGGCTCTTTGACGAGCGGTGGACCGTCGTGCAGCGATGGACAGCCGCGCACGTCGCATGGGTCACGGGCTATCTGCGATCAAAATTCGTACTCGAGGTCAAAGAAGCTGGACTCGTGGTGCTGGTGCTCGCACAGCTTGACGATAGGTACTTCGAGGGCTTCGCTGGCGGATACAGTTATGAGCTACACTTTACGTTGCAGAAAGCAGGGGCTGGCAAGGCAGGGCAGGGCGATCAGATCTGCCGCGTGCGACCCGCTCACGAGATGGAGAATCGGAGTGTCAGCTGTGAGGTTGAACTAGAGGCGGGTCGATACGAGGTCCTCCCGAAAATCACAGCTACGCGCGAGAAGGACGCGTTGAGCGTTGGAGACCTTGTCAAGAAGTACGCCGACGTGAACCCGCAAAAGCTGCGCCAGGTGGGCATGCAGTATGACCTTGCCCATGCCAAGGGAGGCGTACCGGACGAGGACGGCGCGCTAGAGAGCAAGAAGACCGAGCTCAAGCGGAAGAAAGCTGAGAAGAAGAAAAGGATGGCGGACAAGAAACAAAAGGCGAAGACTGAGAAACAGAAGCAGCGCGCTTTAAAAAGGGCAAAGAGGGCTATGAGAAAGGCCAAGAAGGCTATTGACGAAGCAGTTAACGGCAATGATTCTGGAGATGGCGTGAATGGGGCCCAATGTCGCGAAACGAACACGAACACCTCCACCGACACAAATGGAGAGCAAGACAAGAAGGATATAAATTCCTCTCAAGCCACCAAAGGCATTAATGACGATACCATTGACGATTCCACGTCCACGGCGGACTCAACAGCCATTGAGCAGGAATCGAAACACGATGCTGACGAGCATGCGAAACCTATCGACGATATTGCGAAACCCGCCGACGACGAAACGACGCCCCCCACGACTGCTGCGGTTGCAACCACTCTGCTGACGCCCCCGTGCCAGAGCCCTGCGAGCGAGTCGGGTGGGAAAGAGCAAGAAGCCACGGCAACTGTCCAGCCTGCTGAAACAGAGGCGGCAACGGAGACTGAGAAAATCGATTCTGAAGATTCTGATTCCGAATCATCGTCCGAGTCTGACACCGAATCGGACACGGACTCGGATTCTAGCCATGACAGCAGCGATGACGCCGAAACGCCGTGGAACGCCGTTTGCGTTATCGGGCTTCGCGTTTACGCCCGTGATCCTTGTGTGTCGGTGTCGCTGGTCAAGCCTGACGACGATTTTGAAGGGGCGGCCTTAACGGTCGATGGGGCGCCTGCGGGTGCCACAATGTGAGGTGAAGGGCAATATCGGGCTTTCGTGAGAAGGTGGAGCAACGTTCTGAGTACACATAGGAAGGCAACTATTTTTCTATTCTCGCAGCCCGCCACAAGTTCCTCACGCAGCGTCGAGCTCAAGCTTTGCATAGTGCTCCCGAATCTGTTGACTCAGGAGGCCGCCATCCGCAGCATATTGCGCTAGCTCCAAGACAAGCTGAGCCCATAACTTGCATTCTTTGTCATTCCTGAGCCTCCAGTAGTCAACAGCGTGGTTCCAAGCAACCGTCACCAGCCACTGGACCTCCTCGGGCGGGAAGGAGAAGCCGCTCTTTGTTATAGACCATCAGTCAATTTGATACCCTTTGCTCAGCAAACCAGAGGCTTACCTCTGCCGAGGCTCTAGCTTTGCTGATCGCCTCTTGCAAAATCTGTCTGCCCAGTTCGCTCTCAAGTGGGAGCACGGCCTGGAACAGACATCGTATGTATTTGGCCAGCCTCGCCGGGTCGAACCGTTCAAGATTCCAGATCTCGTTGATGATCTGTCTCAGCGCCGAATAGAGGTCTGCCAGAATCAGCACAACAATCCCGCATCGGGTTCGGTCACAGCCCGCCTACCTCGCGGGGGGAGGTGCCCCCTAAGAAGACAATCCGCCATGGACTTGAAGGTCTCGACAGAGGTGCATCGCTTGGCTTTGTGCACGATTTCGCTCAGCTCATCAAATAGCTCAAGATGAACTGCTGCCTCGAGATCAAAGACCAGCAAGCTGGCAAACTTCTGATATAGGTCTTTTGACGTGAGCTTATCCATCTCGTTGAGACACACGTATTCCTGAATCTGAGTATCGAATTCAACCACATGTTGCCTGAGTGAGCTATACACTTGCGATTGTCGCTCGACATCATCTTGAGTGCGGGCTACCGAAGCCATTGCTGAAGCGACGACAAAGTGGCTAAGTGTAGACCTGAGACGAATGTCATCGGCCTCCTGAGTCGGGATGTCGGATGGATAGTACTCGCGCACTGCGAGCCCAACTTGCATCATTCGTATGATGTGGTCGAGATCCCACGAACCCAAGCGGCTGATCCCGAGATTGTACGAGTTCTTGCAGAACCAGTGGAGCTCTTTGACGGTATAGAGTAGGTCACCCTGAGAGTCCTTTGGAGCGCGCTTGATGTCCTCCACAGCTATGCTCTCGTCAGCAGGAAGCACTTTATAATGCGTGGTCACCCATGGATTGTACCGTGTTCAAATATCTGACAGAGCTCTTCGACCAGCTGTCTCTCCACCATCGGCGTGGGACCCGAAGTAGCGGTCGCATCATCGCCCATGGCGCCTTGCAAACATCGAATGGCAGATCTCAAGAGTGCTGGGCGGTGCAACTGCGTGGATGTGCAGTTGTCAACCAATGCACTGATTGCTCGATACGTACATAAATCATCGCCATGTTTCTGTGCATCAAGAATGCAAGCGTATAAGAACGTTGGGTTGTTGGTACCTGCCTTGGCGAGACCCTCAAGGCCTTGCTTGACATGATCATGAAGTTGATATCGCAGCCCAGCTTTAAAAATGAGATAATTTGCCAGCGGCTCACCAGGAGGCTCGGCGATGTAATGACTTATGACGTCGAGCAGCACTTCTTTCGGGGCGTTATTCTCAATCGCGCTACGAAGTCGTGATCTTCGACGTCAACCGTCAGGAAATTGGTGAAGCGCTGGAATCAGGGGCCCTACCTGTAAAATTTACCAAAATTGATCGGACCAGCCTTGACGAAGACGACCTGATTCAACGCCAGTGATGCCTACTTCCTGGCCTCTGCATGATCAGACTCCGGCACGGTTTCAATCTTCTGCCAGATGATCTCAGGGGCAATTAGCTGGTACACTTGTGTTGCTGACTAGCTCGGACTTACAGTATGTGCAGCCGCGGCGGTCGAGGCTTTCAGTGGTTTACCTCGAAGGACACAAACATCGACTAAGACATTCGTGACAGAGTCCAATGCTGTGGGCGTAGATATCTGACGAACAGACATGGAAAGTCGTCGCAAGACGGCCCGTTCGATCCAGGCATCCCGCTCACAATTTGCGATTCGAGTTTTGAGCCATTCATCGGCGCTGTCACATCCCAACTCTTGATCTAACTGAAATAATTGCCATATGTGCTTCTCGATCAATCTGTAGTACGGCTCGGAGTGGTTGAAGCTCCTCACTAGACCAAGGATGCAAGTGGCGTAAGCCTCCTTGTCAAACACACCCGGTCTCGATCGTTGAAGAACCTCAAGGCGTAGGACTAACACGACGGGAGTTTCGCCAACCTCCGAGGATATGCTTTGGACAATATTGGATGCAGTCTCGAAATCTTGGGGCTCTTCTGTGCTGAGGAGGGCGTTGACAAAAGCACCACCGATAATAAGGCGTAATTCGGCGGCTCGTCGGGATAACCTATCCAGTGCTGGAGTGTTGATAGCTTCATACGCTCGACCGAGCCATCTGGTTGCCGTGGAGAATTGATTATTGGTCAAATAGCGTTTACCAGTGTCAAACAGAACTTCAGCTAGGTTTTCAGCTAACGTCGGATCTAGAGATGCCCGCAGCTGCTCAACCTTGGCATACATGTGCTCGGCAACGTCAATGCGAGACTCCTTCAGGGCCTGCGATTCTAATATCAGCCCAACCATGCCACTGAATGAGGGCCTTCAACAGGGACATACAAGGGCGGTACGGAGAATCAGATATTCTGCTTCCAGTCGGTGGGTCAACCCGAGCTCTTCAGGATTGAGGCTTGGACGCAGCCTGGGGAAAAGCAAAGTATATTCTGCTGCCTTCTGCAGAACTATGACTGTGCTGCCATAGTCTTCGTCATCTGAAGCCGGGGTTAGTCGGACAAAAGCCTTAGAAGAATACGCACGCCCTTACCAAAGAAGAGTCTCGCGACCTTGAATGCCATGGAGAAGAGCAACTCGACATCCCCCATCTCGATGTCTAATCCTTCTTCCCCGGTCCAGAGAGCCAGATGCGTCATCAGAAATGCTAAAAGACGGCTTTGCAACAGCAGCTTCGCTCGGATTGGGGGCATATCTGCAGATTGACTGCGTTGAGTGGCGATGCAGAGGTTGAACAGCTCTCTTGCGCGGCTCGCGAGCTCCACGCCTGAGCGTTTCTTCAGCGCCGATCTTGGCACAACGCAGCTGGCGGTCTGGGCCGCTTCCGAGAGCCTCTGCACCAGGGCATTGATGGACGGAGAATCGATCAAGGAGGGCAGATGTTCCTGGAGTGACCTGGCAAGCTCTTATTCTTGTTGTCAGCAGTTGGATGAACGGCAATGAATTGGACAAGACACACCCAACAGTGCCTTGACCTTCTCCAGGTCACTGTCTCCGGTTCTGTGGCCGCCCATCGTGGTTGATGTTTGGTACCTGTGGTGAGGTCCTTTGGCCTGATATGACAGCGTGGAAGACCGCCAAGGAGCTTGGTGTCTGAGTTTTCCATAGAGGCAATAAAAAAAGGGACGATGAAAGGAGGCTCGACGCATTGATGCCGCTGCAAATTTGTTGAAAGGCGGGTGTTGCTAAGAGAGGCAGGCGTATTGGGTCGAGCCTGCCTTGGACGTGAGCCGGACACTTACCATCTTGCCCAAGGTGCAAATATGTGCCAATACGAGGTCAAAGAAGAACATCAAAGAATGTGACAAGCAATTCCCCCCAGATCACTAGGCTTGGCAGAATCGATTGAGTCTTGGTACTAGAAACGCCTGCTACAGAAAGAAATCCCATCAACAGCCCAAAGTTGACTACTCGGATGAAATGCCGAGATGCAACAGCAATGATGCCCTGATATCCGTGCCGACCTCCTGCCCTGGACGCCTTCAATGGCCTGCCTGTTTTGGTTTTGACCCGCCCACAACGCCGAAAGCCATAGCACGCAAAAGTATATGGTCCCCATCGTCACGATTCTATAGGGTCGTTTGGTAGGAAGTTGCCCACGATCAGCGTTGGCCTGTCAACACACATGTTAGAGGGAAGGTGATGGGCTGGCAATTTATCATGGGGTTTTAAACGCACAATTTGTGATCGTCTCTGCGGATCATGAATGAGAAGCAGCATCGCACAACAGGGTGGGTCGCCTCGTCATCAGGACTCTTCAGCGTACACGCAGTGAGAAGTGTATCGTGAGCTGGGTCGAAGGCGATGGTGCCAAACTCCTCCCAGTATCTAACCAACGATTCTTCCGTCAGGATCTCGTGCAAAGAAATTTTACCCTGTACCTTGTCAGTATGAACCCCAAGAGTAGGCGAATCGCTGCACTTACGTCGCGGAGATTCTCGACGGGCACGTGAATCAACTCAGCCATCTCCGCGTTGCCACGGAAGATTTCGCCTGTTCGCCTCCAGCAGCACGCCGGAACTGCCATGCTGGCGAACACGCGGTCGTACTCCATCAACTGTTTTTCGAACCACATCTCGACATAGACGAGCTCCATGTCTGTCAAGGTTTGGGCCTTTTCTCGAAACTTGGGCCTGAAGCGGTCGATTGTGCGTAGGATCTTCTGTTTCGACCCCGAGGCAATATGGGAATCAAGATATTTGCCGAGGCGTAGGTACCCCTTGACGTAGACAAATGGCTTTAACAGTCCAGCATCGTACTTGGCCTTGAGCACGCGCTGCATGCGTTCCTCGGGTGTATCGTTGCCCGACGGATCCGCCGCTTGCAGGTAGTATTCCCGAGCCTTGTCCTTGTCGGCCTGTATAGCAGTGCTAGGTCGCGCGACGGTCTTGGCTTGGTCAACGTTGGGCGGGGGCAACATGGACCCCTGCTGCTGCTGCTGCTGCTGCGACTGTGCCTGTAGTTGATGTTGTTGGTGTTGCTGCTGCTGTTGTTGCTCTCGCGCATGCTGCTGCTGCTGCTGCTGCAACTGGTGTTGCTGCCTCTGCTGCTGTTGCAAAACGCTGTGACCAGCATTCGGGAAGCCTGGCAACATGTCGTTCTGCCCCTTGCCTTGACTGGTTGAACGCGGGGCTGCTCTGGGGTTCGTCGCCGAGTATGTTGCCGTCATTCTATTAGCTAGTCCTGGAAGAAAGTCATGCAGCGAGTCTCGGAGGCGATCATGTAGTCTGGTGGTAAGTCTGCATGTCTGGTAGTGGCCGTCAACCAGGCAACCAGGCAATCGGAGGAATTCCAGCAACCTAGTAAACGAGGCACCGCACCGACGCATCCAGTCCCCAGTCACCGGTAACAAGAAAGGAAGAAGCATCAGTCCCAGTCACGGTACAAGAAGGAGAAAGCGATCACAATCCCGAGACTCGGGGCCTGAGCCCCCAAGAGGCAGCCCAATCTGGCTCCAGGCACGATGCAGACAAGGGGTAGGGTAACGCGACGCTTACATTGGTTCATGTTACCGCCGCTGGCCATGCCGTTACCTTGCAGGCCAGAGACAGGCGAGGGTGACACGAGCTGCAGTGGGTTCCCCTGGCCTAGAACAGCGCTCCCAAAGGCGCCGGGCCTGGCGCCTGAGCCCGAACCCTGCCTGCCATTGGTATCGAGACGAGTCTCGACGGATGGCGGAGGCCCCATGGCCCCTGGGGATTGGTCGATCGAGCTGCGCGCCAGGTCGGGTTGAGACTGGCATTGCGACTGCGTCTCCGCGTCATCGACGGTAGACGCGCCGTGAAGGGCCTTGTTGGGCTTTTTCGTGTCGGGATCGCGCGGTTCGTCGTGACAGAGATGACCGATGTTGCGCTTAATACATCGTGTACACGGTCGTTCCTATGCCAATTGCCCGCGCGTCAGTCAGTAGGGTATCGTCGCGTCGGGGAGGAGGGGCAGGGAGAGGGAGGCCGTACGAGATCGCACGTCATGTGCTGAACGAAAGAAAAGACACTATCTGTCAGCCGTGGTTCAGTAGTAACAAAGTCGTCGCAGGTATGCGAGCGATCAGTTCATGCGAGGGGGGCGATGCAGGACGGTGGATGGGCGGGCGAGGGCGTCGCGACCGGGAAAAGAGGTGGGCATGAGCACCAGTCCCACGGCATGGCCAGTTCGGAAGCTGCTTAGGCTGGTTCGCAGACGCAGGTCGTGTGCATCAGGAAGATGACTTACAGATCGTCGACAATAGACGCAAGCTGCAAAAGACATGGGCGGACCATGCCGCCAATCATCAGCCCAAGGTACGAAGACGACAACGACACGTCGCGTCGGAAGTCCGAGCATGTGCGAACGAAAGGAGAGGGGGGTATTCCAACCCAAAAAGGGGGACAGAGAGGGAGGAGGGGGGGGGCAAGCGACAGAGGGACATACCATGATTCACCTTGCGGCGCTTCTTGGGACTCTTGTGGGTGTCGTTGGGCGCATTCTGCTTTTCGCGCTTCTGGTCTGCCTGGTCAGGCTTTGACTGCGAATCCTTGGACGTCTTGTCCATGGTGGCGGAGGCGTTCGACTCGCCCATTGAGGACCGATCCCATTGGGTCGAGAGGTTACGCAGAGAAGACGAGGGCTACGTCGTTCGCAGATGGGGGCGGCGGCTTGGTGCAGGACGAGAGCAGCAGCGCAACACGGGGCCTAGATATGACCAAGTTTGGGGTAGCAGGTTTCCCCCCGGCGGAGGAAGAGTCGGAGACGCTGTTCGAGACGGTGCGTTGGTCGTTGCAGGAGTCGCGCTGGCCGTCAGCGCCTTTCCAAGGCTACGCTCAACAGTCTCGCGTGAGGGATTGACGGGTCGCGTGTGTCGAGGGGCCGAGGGCCTTTTTGGAGTCGAAGCTTCCTGGGCTGGGGGGCGGGCGATCCAGGTGACATGAGGATGGAGGGAGACGCACGCACGCAGCAGCTCGCCAGGCAGGGCCAGTCCAATGCAAGGCAATCCAATGCCAATCGAGAGGCCCGCCTAGAGGTCAGCTCCAGCCAGTGGGAGTGCCGCCAGAGTAAAAAAAGAACCTAGAGGTATCGGGGTAGGCTGCGGGGCTTTGCGGGAGCCAGCTGGAGCGCCAGCGCACTCTTCCCAGGCAAGCCAGGGCACACTGGCGCTGCCAGAACCGAGGGGTAGTTTGCAAGTGGAGCACTCGAGGCCCACTCCTGGCCAGCACACCTCTGAAGGCGTACCTTACCTCTGTACCTTACTGTACAAACGTGCGTACATGCTGATTGCCCCTTCCTTCCTCCCCTCCTTCCATCGATCTTCCCCGCTCCAACTCCCCCAACCCAACAGTGAGGTGAGAGCTGGCGAAGGGAAGGATTGCCTCGGGGCTGATGCTACCCTCCAATGGGCAGGAGCCTTACCATTTTGGTCAGCCCGGAATGTTTTCGTCCTTCTTCCCTCGAGCCGACCATTCCCGATCGCTCATTGTGAAGGCATCGCCGAGGAAGCTTTACGGAGAAAAGGAGGGCGGCATGCAGGATCGATCGGTCACTGTTTGCTCTATTCTTCATATTTCATTGGCACTCGTCATTACGTCTTGTCATGCCCCACGCTACCCCTCTTCTTCATCACCCGCATCGTTCCTCACCTTAGATCGCCACGAAGAAGCTCTTCTCCCCCTCCTTCGGCAGCACGCGCGCCGCCCGCATGATCGGGTCCTCGCAGCTCAACCGGATCCTTTCGGGCGTCGCCGGACTCTCTAACCTGAGAAGCCCGTCTTCGCTCGCATCCTGGCCCACCGTTGCCTCGACGCCGTACTGCCGCCTCGCCGCCCGTAGTCCGTCCCGGATGGCGAAGAAGACGGCGCTGCCCATGAATAGTGGGGGCTCGCCGACGCCTCGGCTCCTCTGAATCGTGCGCAGGTCCTTCCACTCGACGTCTTTGAGCAGGCTCACGTTGAATGTTTGGGGAATGTCGCGGAAGCCTGGGATCTTGTATGCGCCAGGACCCCTCGTGAAGAGGTTGCCCGCCATGGGTCCGTTGCGCAGCCACAGTGACTCCTCCATCGTAAACAGGCCCATGCCCTGCACGAAAGCGCCCTGGATCTGGCCATAGTCGATGGCTGGGTTGATCGACTGGCCCACGTCCATCTTGATGTCTGCCCGAATGCACGTCGAGGTGCCCGTCAGCGTGTCGATCTCGACCTCGGCTGCCGCCACGCCCTGGGTGAAGTAGAAAAACATCTTGCCGCGATTCTCGCCCCAGGTGTAACCGATCTCTGGTGTCTTATAGAATCCTTGCGCCGAAAGGTTGACTCTGTCAAAGTATGCCGCATGTGCAAGGTCTTTCATTGTCGCCTTTGCACCGAGCTTCTCTCGGTAAGGGGCGAGGCGCTCGTTGAGCTGCTGACAAGCGTTGTGGATGGCGTAGCCGTTGAGATCAGACGAGGCAGACGCCGCGGTTGACGAAGCATTGGCGACCGTGTTGGTGGCTGTCTCCGAGATGAAAACGTTATCGAGCGGCACTTGCAGAGCCTGGGCTGCGATCTGCGTCATCTTGGTGTGCAGACCCTGACCCATCTCTGTGCCGCCATGGGCCACCAGAACCGAGCCGTCATGGTAGATATGGACTAAGGCGCCTGCCTGGTTGAGGAAGAGCGCAGTGAACGAGATGCCGAATTTCGTAGGGATGAGCGCAAGGCCTCGCTTGCGCCACTTGTTACTCGCGTTGAATTCTGTAATCATGGCTCGCCGTAGTTCGTAGTGAGACTCTTGCTGCACCTGCTCGTACATCAGCGGCACGTGCCAGTCAGTGAGGGCTTGGTTGAAGTGTGTCGTCTCGAGCGGCTTATAGAAGTTGATTTCGCGGAACCTCTCTGCTGGGATGCCCAGGCGATCGGCCACCTCCTCCATGTACGTCTCGGCGATGAACATGCCTTGCGGTCCACCGAAACCACGGAAGGCCGTGTTGGACATGGTGTTGGTCTTGCACAGACGGCCTCGGATATGCACATTGGGGATCTTGTAGCAGCCGTCGGAGTGGCTCATGGCTCGCTCGCAGACGGCAGCGCTGAGGTCAAATGTCCAGCCTGCGTTGTTGAAAACGTCAAGGTCCAAGGCCTGGATCTTGCCGTCCTTATTCACACCGACCTTCCACCGACCCAGAAAGGGATGTCTCTGACCTGACGTGACCATGTCCTCCTCGCGCGTGAGCATGCATCGTACAGGCCGCTTCGTCTTCTTCGCCGCCAGGGCGAGTGGTGTGCTGAGCTGGATAGATCGTGTTTCCTTGCCACCGAAACCACCGCCGAGTCGCTTAACCCGAACGTTGATCTTGTTTGCCTGAACGCCGCACATGCGCGCCGCAAAGACTTGCGTCTCGTTGGGGTTTTGCGTGCTTGCGAAGATCTCCATCTCCCCGTCTTCCAGTTTAGGCACTACAAGCGCCGCCTGCGTCTCTAGGTAGAAGTGCTCTTGGCCACCCATTCTCGCGGTACCAGTGAAGACGTGGTCGCAATTCTTGAATGCCTCTTCCGCGTTTCCATTCTTGATCTCGCGGAAGTACTTGTGGAAGCTCTCTTGCTCGATGGCCTCCTCGATTGTGAGGATGGGCGGCAGTTCTTCGTACTCAACCTTCACAGCGCGAGCGGCCTCGGCCGCGCGGAGGGCAGTTGTTGCAAGTATCATAGCGATCGGTTGTCCAGCCGTGTAAACCATGTCCTCGGCGAAGAATACCTCATCGAAGTTGGGCGCACCCCAGCGATTGAGTTCTGGGGTGGGAATGTCGTTCTTGTCAATGTAATCAACAACGCCTGGAATATCAAGCGCAGCGGAGTAGTCGACCGACTTGATCTTGGCGTGTGCCTTTGTGGAAAGCACGAAACATCCGTGGAGCTCGTTCTTGAGTGCGGGGGTGTCGTCAGTGTATTGAGCTTCTCCTGTGACTTGTTTCAGTGCTGCCACATGGTTCTTCGACTTGCCAACAGTCTCCTGTTCGTAAGCGGCCGCCGTGTCTTTGTCTTCGAAGCCCGTCGACAGGCTGCGCTCAATCTCGTCGATGGCCTCCTTGTCGACGTGCTTATTTTGGCCATCAATGTTGGTAACGACGTCGTGATAGAATCGGTAGAAGAAGCTGAAGGCGAGGGCTTTGCGATATGAGGCCATGCCGCCGGGGACACTGAACTGTAGGTCAAAATCGGTACCAAGCGCACTCATCGTGCCCTCGAGTGTCTCAAGCTCGGCCAGCCGCTTGCCGACAAGGTAAGCCATGGCATTTTTGGCAGCTACCGTCATAGCAGCCATGCCACCATAGATGATATTGCAGTCAGTAACGACACCACTATCATCGAGTTTGATCCTGAGAGCACCTGTGACAATGGCAATATCGTCATCCTTGCGCTTGGCTTGCTTGTAAGCACGGAAGAACTCCCCCTTACGCTGCGTTACTGGGATCCGGATGGACGCGATGATGGCGTCCTGCGGCAGAGCAGTACGGCGGTACCCAGTGAAGAATTCGGACATGGGAATCTCAGTCTCCTTCGTATGCGATTTGGCCACCAGGACAGCGTTGGCAGCCCAGAAGACGGGGTTCAGATCAGAGATGGGAGACGCAGTAACTAAGTTCCCAGCAGGGGTACCGACGTTGCGAATCTGGCGTCCAGCAAAGTACTTCAGCTGCTTGTGCATAGCCTCAAAAACTTGTGCCTTGTCATGCCCGTAATGTGTGATGGCCTCCTTGCACATGTTTTCGAGATCGGTAAGAATGACGTTGCCTCCAATTTCGAGGTGATCATCTTTAAACTCGTACTGCCGCAGTTCTGGGATATCTCCGACAAATACCGACACGGGATACTGCAACGCCTTGAACTTGATCTCAATCTGTGTTTCCGTGCTGCCGCCGATGATCTTGGCCGAGGGATACACACTCTTGATCTCCAACAGCTGCTGGAGAGTCACGGGACGGTACCAAGTCTTCCGCTTGTTGCCGAATGCCAAAGGTCGCATTTCGTGTTTTTTGAGCGCCGGTGGGAAGATGAGCTCAGTGTCCGGGTTGTACTCGATGAAACCAGGGGGCGTGAATCGCTTGATGGGCTGGTCATCAAGCGCAGCCTTGTCCATGCAGCAGCCGCCGCTCTTCTCGCCGTCGCCCTTCTCCATACAGCATCCCGAGCCGCCCTTGGCAGTGGCTTTGCCGCAAGCATTGGAGCTGCTGAATGTCTGTGCCGCATCGAGAATCGGCCGGTAGCCGGTACACCTACACAGATTACCGTCAAAGGCTTCCTCGATATCGTCGTCGGACGGTGACTGGTTGTTCCGCAACAAGGCGTATAGGCTCATGACGATGCCGGGTGTGCAGAAGCCACACTGGCTTCCGTTGCTCCTAGCCACGCGCTCCTGAGCAGGGTGTGGAGCCTCCGTATTGCCGATACCCTCGATTGTGATGACATGCTTGCCGTCCAAGCTGGCGAGTGGTGCCAAACAGGCGTTGACGCTCGCATGATAGATGGATTTTGTTGTAGGGTTGTACTGTGAGATAACAACAGTGCAGGCGCCGCAGCCGCCCTCACCACATCCTCTGGACAAGCCTCGTCAGCGCAGCTCGCCACCTCAAACGCCGGGGGCAGCGGGAACATACAGCTTCGTGCCGGTCAGGCCGATACCTCGAAGGTATTCCAAGAGTGTTACTTCAGGATCAATCTCGTCCAGAACTACCCTTGTGCCGTTCAGGAAAAAACGGATCGTATCGTCGAAGTGGGTGGTCAAGGTACGGAGGGGGCCAGCGTCCCTCTCGGGTGATACAGCGCCAGGCGCCATGATTGCGAGGCGTGTTTCAGCTGGAGCAGTGGATCAAATATGAGTTGCAAGAAAATTGTACAGCAACGAAGGGTATTGTCGATTTCAGCAAATACGGCCAAGGGTTGGAGGGAGAGGACGAGAAGTGGAAGTCAGAGTCGGCACGCGAAGGGGGTGTTCCCCTCTTATCAGTGGAGGCGACCGGGCGTGGATGGCGGTGTCATCTGCGGCGGTCCACGATCTGCTTGTGCGCCGATTGGCATCCAGCAATCGGACAAAAAGTGTCTGACGGGACAGCTAGCTCTTTTTAGTAACGCTAAGTCTTGATGTGCTTCGAGGCGGTCGAGACTATGGTGACCCTGGAGCAACAGAAAGATCCGTGAAAGCCAGAATGGATTGGAGGTCGAGAGAACGAGACGAATCACAGCCGTTAGAACACTGCTTATCAGTGCCAGTCCCTTGCAATCGTGGCTATCAGCATCGCGGGGCAGCTCACAGTGGGTCTGCGCTTGATGGATTGCCCCGCTGCTTCTCCCCACGTTCGGCCGGCTCCGTCAGTCGTGTCGTTTCGCGCGTCGGCTCCTTCCACCTGCATATACGCACGTTTCTTGCATTTCGGTTGGCTCGACTAGGAGGACGGTGGTGAACGTTGACTGCTAATAACGTCTTGCATCATGTCGGAGACGCTTTCGGTTTCGAAGTCTGACTTGTGGGAACGAGAGCAGCCACACTGAAGATTGGAGTCGGTCCTGCAGCAAGGGCGCTCAGCATCACCAAAGGACAGGCAGCATCAGCCTCTCGAGGAGCCGTGCCAGACGAATGAGGTCCTCGTTCAGAAATCACATCACAGCCTCCAGATATAACCAGTCAATATCGACGCGGTTGCCATGCTTATCGATGCAATCATACAATGGAGGCTCCCAAGCACGACGCGGAGTCTTTACCCCGTGGTGGTAACAGCAGAAACGAACTCCTCGTCTCTCAGGAAATCGAAAAATGACCGATGGCTTTACGCAGTGGCGGCATGGTGGTCTTGATATGAGCCATGTTCGTCTCCCAGAGGGTGGATTCGTAGCTGCGCCGAGGCTATCATGAAAACCATGATCCAGTGGTGCCTTCAACCCTTTGAAACGACCTTCTATGCCGTAGACGTTACCCTGCAGAAGGATCAGGCGACTTGAGTTTCTATTCAGGCCAAGAGCCTCGAGGGCGCTCAGTTCACAGGCTGCCTGAGGCCAGTCCAGCTCTGCGAGACTCTCAGCAAATCGTCAGGAAAACCATTGCCACTGTTCCATGCGTTCTGTCGAAAGCCGCGTTTTTTTGATGTCATGAGAATCAGCAGGGAACCCTCCGGCGTGAGCTATCCATTGGCTCGGCAGCCATCGATGGTACATGTACTGCTCGATGTGCGTTCCATAACCTGCAGGATTGGCCGAACAATTGGCCCTGTGATCTAGGGTTCCCTCAGCTCTCAGACTACACTTCCACGACCGCGCATCTCTGATCAAAACCTCGAATGAGACTAGCAAGGAGTCTGAAGCAGCCAAAATGAGATACCGAATATGTCAAGAGCGTCAAGGGGAGTTGGTCAAATCCCGTGATCCGTCTGTACAGACGCTTACTGTTTTCTCTCCTTCAAGTCTCGAGCGATGACTTATGTCATTCTCGTCGCCATCCATTGTGATACTCTCCGCTCATGTAACTCTCCCCACCCATTTCCATAGTCCAGTAGGCAGTAGCTGGGATTAATGTTGCATGTACTCACGGTGCTTGTTGAAGGCTGTCTATAAGCTCTAGAGTGATAACCTTAGCAACCTCAGTCCTCGCGTCAAGATTATTACCCATTAGGTATATCTCAGGTACAATTTGACGACTATCTGGCCGATGCGCCTCTATAGCTCCAGAGCTAGTAGTTGGCATCTTCCTGATCACTGACGTCTATCTAATATCCGAGATCTGTTAAAACTCAGAAGGTCAAGGACTACGGGACACAATAGTTACCCGAAGAAGTACATAGGCGGGCAGATGTCTGAAACTGACACCCGGACGAACCCAGTTTCATTCTCTGCATTAGTTGAATTTACTTCGCTCTGTTTTGTCGACTTAGTGTGCACATGTTGGAATTTTGCGAGTGAGCCAGATCGTCTGGACCCCCATGAATACAACCATCAAGCTGAATAGCTGCCTCGTGGTTGTATGACTGGGGCCCGTCAATGATTGTGGCTGGTCAGTCAGTCTTGCATAAAGGCCATGCGTTGTGTTTCTGACATGGCTCAGAAAAGGGATCATGCTAGCAATCAAGATTAGCTACTTGTTGGGAAGACCACATCTTGAAGAGCAGCATCGCCGCAATTCTCAATCATGGCATGTCAGTCCTGTCTCGCCTACACACGGACAGCCTGTAGAAAAGCCCTGCTCTCATTGCCCTGGGCCACTTTTGCGATGGGAGTCAAGTAGGCATCCTCGCTTCCGGTCGCTTGCAAATGCTGAATATACCTCTGCGCCACCTTGAGCCAACTCGACTTCTCTTGTCGGCTCGCTCTGGACCCCTCCCAGACCCATATCGTCTTGCCGGCGTCATCCAACAGAAACACGTCACTGCCGTCTAGGTCGGACAAGCGGATGGAAGCGTCCTTGACAAGATCAAAAGCCAGCTGGCCCGACGCGTCGCTGAGGCGGAACAGCTTTTGCGGGAGCGAGGCCGCAGCGCCTTCACGCGGAGAAGACTTGGATGCCAGCGGCTTGGGGCATCGGAAACCGTCGACGGGCGCGTCGTTGCTGCCGCCAAGAAGGCCGACGACAACCCTCGCCCGCGATTCCGACTGCGCAAGCACCTCTGCATCGACATGCTTCTCCAGCTTCATATCGTGAACCACCTGTGCCGCCTTGGCCTTCTCCATGGGACTGCACTTGCCACCTTGCCACACCCAGATCTTGTTGCCCACATCGAGCACAAAAACGTCTGCTCGTCGAGGCTGCGCCAGGTCGGCTCGACCTCGACCACAACGATTCCACTGCCGGACGCCGGGTTCTTGAAGACGCGCAGCAGAGTGAGAATCGCCTCGGGCTCCTCCTTCTCGACATGGCGAAAACCAGACTCGACGCCACCCCTCCGGATGTTGATTCTGGGGAACAACCTGAGAAACTCGGCAGACGGGTTACCCTGTGTCTCGCGGTACTGCGTGGCCGCGCCGTGCAGAAACTCATCCAGTTCCACAGTCTTGTACGCGGCCGTGCCGGCCTCGTCTTGCGTGGTGTGAGCACCGAGCCAGAAGAAGATTTCGTGGCCCAGTTTGGGCTGGCCGTCTTTGTCGTCTCCGAGTTGGTACGAGTGGAGGATAATGAAGCTGTCACCATCATAGAAGGTGCCGTACTTTGCTTTGGGCCAAGTAGCGACCTCGAAGCGCTCGATGCGCCAGATCAACAGACCTGGCTCGAGTCCAACTTTTCCATCCTGCCAAGCAGGCTCAGATGCCGCCGAGTTGTATTTCACCTTGTGGTCGAGGTCGGTGCCAATCAACTCGACATTGCTGTCCTTGATGTCGTATTCCTTAGGGTGTACCAAACCGTGATTCGGAGCCATGGTGTGTGATAATTATCCGAGAATGATGGAGTGGCAATGATGACTATTGGAAGGACACGTAAAGACAGCAGCGTGGACACGTTTGATGGAGGGAAGAGTTCGAATGCTTGTTTGCACTGTCAACTAAAGACTGGAGAGCTTCAACGGTGGGGTCTTGTTCGTCAGCTCGAGAGCTCGTGCGGGGATGCCGCATGCGATTGGATGACCTCGCCCATACACCCCTTTCCCTGCCCTCAATCGCAGGTACATGTACAAGCATCCGTTGTTGTCGCAGTGTAAATGTAACTAAAATGATGCGTAAAATCCTGGTTCGCGTGAACCTTGAAATGTTTCATTCAACCAAACGCCTTGTTCCAAAGAAACGGTATCCGTACAACGCCCAACGAAAAGTGTCAACATAGCCTTCGTCATCCATACATGTATCGATCTGCCTATCAGCTAAACGGGCTCGCAAACCCCAGCCAGTCTGACTCAGGGTCTGGCATTCCGTTGTTTCTGATGGGCTCGCCCGCGCCGCCCATCGCCTTCAGTGCTTGCGAATGTATGAGGTTCGTCTGGCTGTTCGGTATTGTGATCCCGGGCTGAGCGACTTTGGGGTAGTTGAAGAAGTCAAAAACATCCAGGTAGTCCAATTCGCTCAATGACGTGATCTGGGTCGAGGTCGGCTCGGCGCCGGACCTTCGGGTTGTGGACGTCAGCGTCACCAAATCATGGGCGCTCCTGTAGCAAGTCGTTAGCTTCCGCTGCAAATGTTCAGCCGGGATCCCTTGGGCGGACTTACTTCCTCATAGCAGTAAATGTCATGTCGCCCTGTCTCCCCCTCTGCACGACTCGTGCAAGGATTTTGGCGTAATTGTCAGCTACTTCCCAGTACCTCCCCACATGTTGGAGCGTCTCAATGAAAAAATCGACGCGCGGGTCGACAGGGCACTCTACGGTGGCAGCGTGCACGAGAAGTAGCCTTGCCGCCACCCACAGCGAGAATGCAAATGGTGGGCCGAGCAAATCGAGGCCGTTCGCGTCAAGCACATCCTGGGCGATGTCGCCAAGACTCTGCACAGCTGAGAGACATCTTTGCATCGCATAATGCGACGGCACGAATATGTTGGAGCGGATTGTCGGATAAGCTGCAGAGGAATGGAGCCGCACAACCGATGTGACAAAGGCGCTGTGCAACATGAACCAGTTGGCCACGCGACTGGCTGGGTCCGAGTGACAGAGGGCTGAGATTTTGCTGTACTCGCTGGGCAGGCTTTGGAGCCAGTTGTCAAGTGCGCGGTCGAGGATGCGGTACCTGTTCCGCCACCGAGCCATTTCTGGCGACGAGGTAACATCGATGGATACTTTCAGGAAATCGTGCACTCGACTGAGGATACGCAGAATCTCGCAGTGATAGGAGAAGCTGCCGAGGTTTTCTGGCCGGTTGACCATGTGTGTGGGTGCACCATGCTCGGGCGACCAGCTCCAGGGGCGTGTTTCCACAGGGACGTTTCTCGAAAATAGATCGTAGGAACAAGGCAGACAACGCTGCATCTTGCTATCCTCGAGCATGAAGTCAAAAATTGTCGTGGCGATGGTGGCGTAGCGGTCAAGCAGGTACACCATCCAACAGAGTCGTCGCCGACCCTCGTCCTCAATCCAAGAGTCAGGTGGTGCGTTGACGACCCGCCGCATGGAGCCCGTCTGCGGCATATCTTCTGCATCAGCGGACAGGAAGACGCTGCTCTCTTCACAGAGGTCGAGTTGCCTCACATTCTGCGCAATGAGGGCCAGCAGGTTCCAGCCTCGCGGCCCGTTTGATGTTCCCAGCTCGTCCAAGCAGAGTATGACCAGCGCTCGCAGTGCCTCGACGCTGACTCGTTCCATTGCGTATATCTGAACAGTGTGTTTGGACACAGCGTGGTAGTGGGCCTTCATTTCTGGCGAAAGGCGGGGATCTTTGCAAAATCGCAATGTCGTGGCCACGATGGCATGGAGCAGCACGCGGTCTGCTTCGGTGAGAGAGGTCGAACCAAAGAAGGCGCCGAAAGTCGTCTTCCGGTCGAGGATAGGACACCAGGTGTTGCAGTGTTTGAAGTAGAGGTCGACAAGTGTGTAGACAATGTCGTGAGGTGGCAGATCCGTGCCTGAAGAGATCGAAGACGGGCTCTTTTCGGATGTGATGGAATTCCCGGAGGAATTGTTGAAAGGATTCGCTGACTGACAAATTGAGAAGTGCTTTGTACCGGATGTGCGGTCACTCCCCGTCTCCTGGGCCTTCGCCAGTCTGCCAGAAGGGCTCCAGGAGTATACAAGTCCCGGCGTCCTTTGTGACGATGGCGTCTTGACCCTGTCAGCCCTGGGGCCGGCTGATGATGCTGCCGTTGGCGTCGGGATGGCGAAAGGCATCGATCTGAGATGAGGCATGGTTGCCGATGGCGGGCGAAAGGCCGGATGAGACGGAGGCAAGATGGTCACCGGCAATGTGATCCTCGACACGTCGGCCCAAGGCTTGCAGAAGGGCATCAATCCGGTTCACCTTGGCCTCGAGCTCGAGGCTGAAGCCGATGCGACTTCCAGGCTTCTGCCTCTCGAGATAGACACATGTCCTGTTGTGACGGGCACACCAGGAGCAGGCGGGCTCGGCGCGATCACACTTGACCTTTCTCGCTTTGCACAACTCGCAGCTAAAGGCCCCGTCAGCATTTTGTTCTTGTCATTGGATATCCTCTTGCCCCCAAAGGAAGCTCGGAGTGGACACGCTGTGCGTAGGACAGGGCGATGGTGATGATAAGGATGGTCAAAGACGATGGAACCCACGATGTCTTCTGGTACTTGACCCGCTTCCGTTTCCTCGGTGTCGCGGCCGAGTTGTTATTGGGGGCTGACTCCTCACCACTGGAGGCACCAAGAACGTCGGGCTCTTGCTCGCCCTCGTCGTGACTGAAGCCCGAGTTCGCTTCCTCCTCGGGCACGCTGTCCGGACGTGCAGTCATGTCTAACGTGGTAGTCCCGTGCACTGGAGGGACCAACTCCACATTTTGCGACAAGTGAGATTTGGGAGGTATTTACTCTCCTGCAGTTGCGTCTGGGGGGTGGGAGGAGGCGACGATGTAAAGTATAGATGGGCTGGACCTCAGAACGGATGATGGATCTAATGGATCTGGATGGGGGTGCAGAGCGAGTTGCGTGGTGGCGTCTCTGTGTCTTTGAAGATGGGGTCTGGTCAGGGTGTCGGTGGTGGGAGTTGCGACAGCCCGTAACCGACGAGATGGGAAGGGGGCTTGCACGTCGATCCTTGGCGTGACAACAGCGGACGAGACGAAGGCACGGCAGAGGCACAGGGCAGGTGAAGGAAGGCGACGTGGAGAATGCTGTAGAAACAGCGGCAAAGTACCTTGAGGCACTGGAAGGCAAGGGAGGTAAGGTAGGTGGCTAGGTACCTAGCTAGGTAGGTAGGTAGGTAGGCACTACAGGTTGCACACACGTTCCCTATCGGACAGGCGACTGGGGGACCAACAGTCGTCGGTGGGGTTAGCCTCTGCTTCTTGCAGTCGGCCGTGGGCTTTCCGGGGCAGGCGCCAGGGCGGTTCCGGGCGATTTGGCACCTGAAGACAGTCATCTCGGGCCTTGAACCCCGACTACAGCCTGTGCCGGCGAGGGCTGGCCTGCTTCAATTTGGTGTCAGCCCTCCCTGACACCCCCTGACACCCGACCCGACCACAAGCAGCGAGGGCGGCTTTCCGACCGCCCCAATGGCCTGTTTGCTTGGCCCAGCATTTCTCCTCTTCGCCGTTCTGTTGCTGACGTGACTCCATGTTGCTTGATAATAAGTTGTGTGTTTTTTTCTTTCGTGGTGTTCCTCCATCGTACCAAGGTCCTGGTTTCTTCCGTTGCCCCGCCACTAGTGGCGTTGGCTGCCCTCTTCGAGAAGCCTTTGGATGAGACAATCGCCAGAAGCTAAAATACCCACGGCATGTGCACCAGAGGCATCAGCCGTGAACTACCTGTCTATCACGGAGGGTGGAGGGGGACTGCAGCAGGCTTCGTTTGAGCATAGTTGGCGGTAGGCGGACGGGAAGTGGGAAGGTGCCCGTACCTACGACGCAGGATGGGTGGATGAAGGAGGGGAAGGATCCATCACAAACGGGGTCAAGAATGGAGAATCGAGACAATGTACAGGTACGGCGCCTTCGCCCAACTGACGCACCATCACAGAAGTACAGGCAGGCTACCGAGACCTGGCGACGAGCATCTGACAAGGTGGTTCTTTTTACGGCGCCGCTTGGTCTGCCCCACCGTTCTATTCGAAGTTGCTCAAGGTGGCCCCGGCAACACCGAGCAGACTCCGGATTGAGATGCAGGTACGTACCTGTCCAGGCGCTGTCCTCTCGGTGTTTTGCTTTCCCCTGTATCGCCCCTGTGGCCTGGCTGCGCCCACCTAAGTACTTCTTTCTGCCTTGATGTGCCTGCACGCCCGTGCCTCGGCGCCACGCTTTGACAACGAGGATCATCCTCATAACTACATGTATCTAGCTGTTACTCCGCCGCCCACCAACGGCCTCTTTACCGACAGCACGTGTTTGCTCGTGAAACCAATTCTGAAGAAGCTCATACATCTCCCATCGACCGCCGTTTTCGCAGCAGCCTGTGCAAGCTACATTGGCTGTGAAAAGCAAGATCTTTCATCATCACGTCTTGGAAGTCCGAGGCACGCACGACACAACGTTGCATCGTCACCCGCCACTCCAGCACCCTGGTAGTGCGGCACGAACCAAGAGTAAGTCCTTAATTGGGCATGCACGTTCTGAGCCTCAGCAAACCCCGAGCTGCAGCGAGCGATCGCATTGACCAATAGCATGTTGCGTCCTGATCTCTCATTCTCACGAGCACATCAACCTTGCCGCATCTCACATGATTCTGTATTAGATCTAGGTGTAAGGTAGGCAGGTGTACGACACAAAAGCAAAGTGAGGGGAGGGAATGTGGGTAAAATTTTGACATTTCCTTCCATACATCTCCAACGGCAAAAAAATACCCCGTGGGCTACAAACGTCGCACTAGGTACATACAATAGATTGGTCGCCGACCATGGTATATAAACAAGAAAAACAAATTTGCACCGATCCCATCCTTACCGTCATGATATCGAAAACTTTCCGCTTTCAACCCCCCCCCCCCCCCAAGAGCATGCCCGCGTGAGATAGTTTACTCATTAGCCCAGCCGGCGCTCATCTGCACGGCCTTCTCCCACTTCTTGAAGCGCTTGGCCGACTCATCGTCATTGATCTGAGGCTTGAAGATGGTGCGGCCCTCCGTGTTGGTGTTCTTGAGGTCGTCGAACGAGTCCCACACACCGACGGCCAGGCCGGCAGCGATCGCAGCGCCAAAGGCAGTTGTCTCGCGCATAGCGGGACGGTTGACAGGCATGCCGATCAAGTCAGACTGGGTCTGCATGATGAGGTCCGAGTTGCACATGCCACCATCGACGGCAAGCTCGGTCAGAGCGGCGCCACTGTCCTTCTCCATGGAGTCGAGGATGGCCTTGGTCTGGAAGCAGGTAGCCTCCAGAGTGGCGCGGGCAATGTGACCGCGCTTGGTGTAGGCCGTGATGCCGAAAATGGTGCCACGAGCGTCATCAATCCAGTAGGGGGCGAAGAGGCCGCTGAAGGCGGTGACGAAGGTGCAGCCACCGTTGTCCTCGACCGTCTCGGCCAGGGCGCTGAGCTTGGAGGACTCCTCAATGAAGCCGAGGTTGTCGACAAGGAACTTGACACTGGAACCAGCAACGGCGATGCTGCCCTCGAGAGCATAAGCGCAGCCGCCCTTGTCACCGAAATCGAAGGCAATTGTGGTCATGAGACCGTGGGAGGAGATGACGGGCTTGTCGCCAACGTTGTAGAGGAGGAAGCAGCCGGTGCCGTAGGTGTTCTTAGCGAGGCCGGGGAAGAAGCCCTTTTGACCGACGAGGGCAGCCGACTGGTCACCCAGAACACCGGCAATCTTGATGCCCTTGAGCGAGGTGCTGGCCAGGGAGCCGTAGACGTCGCTGTCGGCAGAGCGGACAATGGTGGGCAGCTGGACCTTGTTGCGGTCGACACGGAACCAGTCAATGAGCTCGTCGTCGTAGGCACGGGTCTCGATGTTCATGAACATGGTACGCGATTTTTTTGGTGACATCGGACACGTGAATGTTTGGGGGGGGACCGCCGTTGAGCTTGTAGACGAGCCAGGCGTCGACGGTGCCGAAGGCCAGGTTGCCGGCATCGTAGGCGGCCTTGACCTCCTTGACGTTCTCGATCAACCACAGCAGCTTGCTGACGGAGGGGTATGTGGAGAGAGGCAGACCGCAGCGCTTGGTGAGCTCACCGGCGCCGAGGCGGTGCTTGAGACGGCGGACGAGCTCCTGGGCACGGGTGTCGGTCCAGACAATGGCGTTGTAGAGGGCCTTGCCCGTGTTCTTGTCCCAGACGACGGTCGTCTCGCGCTGGTTGGTGATGCCGACGGCCTTGATCTGGCTCTTGGAGTGACCCTGAGTCTCAAAGGCCTTTACGGCGCCGTCAATGCACGTCTCGACGGAGGAGATGAGCTCCTCGGGGTCATGCTCGTGCCATCTTCACGCGTGTGTCAGCAAAGGGTGAGTGTGTGGGGGGAGGGGCAGCGCCCACTCGGTCGCCTCGGCACATTGGCCCACGACGACCACTGTGGTTTCTGACGCCCGGGTTGTAGGGGAAAGTCCACTGAAACTCACCCAGGCTGAGGGTACAGCTGCTTGAACTCGAGCTGGTGCGTTGCGACAACCTCACCCTTGGGGTTGAAAATGAGGAAACGAGAGCTGGTGGTGCCCTGGTCGATGGCACCGACAAACTCAATGTTCTTCGACATGGTGACTGGTAGAGATTCCTTGATTCGAGAGGTGAGGGAGGAAAGCATTCAATGGTTCCGCGACGAGTCCAGAGAAGTTGAAAAGGGAAGAAGAAGAAGAAATAAGTCGGCGAGCTGGGGTATCTAGAGGAGGGCTTGAGTAAAGCGCGGGGGAGACGCGGGGATAACCGAGGAGGTGGAGGAAGAGACAAGAGGGTTTGAGAGGTAAAGAAAGCAAGACATGTGTTCCACGATGACGGGCGGCGGTTGATATTGTAGCTCCTGGTGACGGGCGCGAGCTCGTGGGCGGGACATGGGAAGTGACGTGGCTTAGAGGGGAGCTCCAGATCAAAGAGCCCCTCCACGGGGAAACAGCTTGCTCCAATGCCAGCGCCTGTAGGTCCCCTCTCCGACGCCAGGCGCACTGGGGCAAGCCCCCTTCCTTCCCCTCACCCCGACTCCTCCGCGTCTTGGGAAGGCAGGCAGGCAGCCAACAGGCAGCGGCAACCGAGCTGGAGGAAGCTACTCGCCCGAAGCCCGACCACAGGTACGGTATGGTACGAACGGCGCAGAGGTTCGGACTCGTGCCTTCTCGAGGGTCCACCAAGTATCGAGTACAGGTCTGGGGGTGCACAAATGGTACATCGCATCTCGCAGTGACATGTCTCTTCCCCCCCCCCCCCCCGATATAGGACCCCAAGCCCCCCCCCCTTCCCTCAAGCCCCTCCCCGCGATTGTGGAGAACGTGGTGTCACTTCCATGTGATGGATGGTTGATCCATGGGCCTTTCCAAGTTCCCACGAGACGATTGGGGGTTTGCTTTTTGGGGGTGCAGGGCCCCTGCAACCCCGTACTGGTGCCTGTTAGCCAACCCCTGTGCCCTGGAGCTCGAGGGTTGGGAGGGGAACTGCCTGTAGCCTTCCCCCAGAGGCCGTGATATGGGGTGAGCTGACAAGACCCAGTTGGCTGGGTCCGCTGGGCCGTAAAATGGACAATGCGTCAAAGTCGGTCGATCACGAGCTTCATTGAGATTTCCTCGTGGCCTGTATCTGGCTCGTGCGGACCCGTCAGATGGAACATGGGCACAGAGGAGTTCGTGTCCTGTCAGACCGTCTGACAAGAGGCGCCGGGCCCTGGTCGGGGTAAAACCCCGAGCATACAGGGCATGTGGGGTATCCGTGTGGCCCGGTAGCTCAGCCGGCGCGGTGCATCTCGGGTTCATCTCGCGCCTTGTGGGCTGATGTCATGGAAGCGCCACTCCCACCGCCACCTCGGCTCGGGCTGCGTTCGGTCAACGACACCGGCCCTGTGCCAAGAGTCTGTTCTCCTCGCTGAAGACGGTCGGCGCTATCCCGGTCTTTGCCTCCGGTGTCTCCAGTCTTCTGGTTTTTTTTTAACCCTTTTTTTGCTTTCGCCCGGCGGTCCGTTCGTCCTCTGAATCCAGCCTACATTGTCGGCCGTGCCGTGCGAGCAGGGATGAGCCAGCCTGCTGTGCTGAACAAAGATCTCATCCTTCGCAGTTGCGACTAATGCGAATTCTCCTCTACTCTAACGCTGGGCTGCGCACCGCTTGGCAGGAACGCCGAAGCCAGCCTGCTGTCTTGTGAAAGTGGATTTTCTCGTTTGAACCATGCGCGCCCATATCTCCGACCACCCTCCTCTATCAGCTGCAGTGTCTTTGGCATGGACCGAGGGTGCAAGAAAGCCTTTGTGATCGAGCCTCCCACCCGAGGCTTGCTCCCCCCCGTCACACACGAGACTCTCATCGTCTGACGCCATGGCCGTTTTGAGCTGCCGACATTGTGGTTGACTCTGTGCCATGCAGATCTTCGTGTCTCCTTGTCACTCAATCAATTTTCATAACCTTGCGCACTCCAACAAGATGTGCGCTGCCCGCAGATGGAGTCGCACCCATCGCGGCTTGGTGTCTGAATCTAGCAAGTGGACCACGTCATCGGGGGCCCTTTTAGCTTCGAGATTCACGAGCCGGCCGCGCCGTCGCATTTCCCCTCTTTTTCGATCCCACCTCTTTGCGACCATCACTTGGTTGGGTGCAGCAGGTTTGCACTAAGAGTCGCGCTCCCCTTTCAGCTCACAGGATGGTGCCTGCTCGGTCGTTCGCCAAGTTTGGCATTTTTCTTGTCACCTGAAGGATTGCGAGATGGCTGGAGGGGTCGTTCATATCCACCAGGTTGACACAACTTGCGATCCATCGCGATAACTAGAGGCTCCATAACGGCGCCGAAGAGCCGAAAACGCCACCTGTGCCGACCAGCTTGTCCTGTCCAGCTGTAGCAATGG